GTCAACGGACTGGACTCTCTTATCCCCTTGTCAGTAATACACCGAAACACTTACTTACACGACTTGTAGCAAATACCACCTTGCTCGGTTATACTTAACCCTGATTGTTGTTTCTATTGGACGTCTCGATAGCAAAATCTCGCATAAACCTCCTACCCTAAATACTAACTACTAAGAAAGGGTAAAAAAAAAACAAAATATTGATGTACTTGGTCATGAGGAAGTGTGGGTCGTAGAACACAGTCACAAAAAACTTGGAACCTTCTTGACGAAGAAATTTCGTGTCAACAAGTTTGTACCCGGCCTTGTTTTGTTTTTTTGTAAAAAAGTCCAAAGTTAATAAAAGGTACCCCCTCAAAAAACGTTTTCAATTTTGTTCAGGCCGGCAAGTTTACAAAATCTATGAAAGGTCGCGACTAGTAAGAAAGATGACGCACACATGAGGTAGCCTTTCTGAATTTACTGCCAGGTTAATTACCAAAATCCGAATTGCATCCCGGGCAAATAACAGGAGGTAAACGTCTGATTCGGGAACTAAGGTCGAAACGTTGCCGAATGTTATTTAACATAAATGAAATACAGTAGAATAGAAAAAATACGTTTCGAACCTTAGTCGTGCCTATTTCGCGACGTTAATTACTGAAAATTCATCCAAATAGGAAGTGAGAGTCAGTAATGTAAGAAAAAAGTTGAAAGTTAAGAGGTATAATGACGGTGACAGAGAGAAAGGAAATAGGTGCGAGATGGTGGTAGGGGGTTAATTATGATCTGTCTCCTCGGTCCCAGTCTCCATTGAACTTTCCAGGCTATTATACCTGTTCTATAGTTTTGCATTTAAAGGTGGGGTAGGTAAGTTTGAGAAACCGGCTCGAGAAACACTTTTTGTTATATTCCATGGAATGCTGTAAACATCCCGATAGCAATGAATATCTGAAGTGCTTTGACAAAAATACTTTAAAAATGTCATCTGTGGAAGCCGTAGCGCTGTAAAAAGCACGACCAATCATCTGAGCCGGCCCGGCTAAAGTAACTGGATGGCCTACCTGCCTGTCAGCCTTCCATCTGTGCACAAACTTATCTCGTGCCCTCATTGGTCATGTGCGCGTTCGTGTGTGTTGGAGGAGGGGCTCTGTAAGGAAGTAGCAGATTTTTTTCCGGCTGTGTATTTTCAAATTCTAGCGCACTCGAGCTGGTTTCTCCAAAATTACCTACCCCACCTTTAACTGTGGAGGATAAGCTGAAAAACTCTCCTTAATTACCACATTAAATCAAATGTATTAAATCCACACCTTAGTGTAAAAACAAGTTACCGGAGGTTATGTACTTGAATTATTGTTTTTTTTACTGCATCTTATTAACATTGAAGAGATGCAGTAATGTTATCCTGCCTACAGAGGGCAAGTTACTACAACTAACCAACGGACTGTGAAGATTCTGCAGTGAAACAGAAAAAAAATCTTCCACTTTTTATTTTCTCTGATATTTAACACCAGTGAAGTCTTCTTAACCATCTTACTCGTTACATACATTCTCTCTTGTTTCCCTTTTAAGTCCTCATACACGCTATCTTTCATCCCATGCATTACATTTAGCTTCATGCATGTATTCTCTTTTCCCTCTGTGCATGTTTCCTAAAGCCTTTATTTCTCACTGCATGCGATCTCTCTCCTTCTACGTCAGTCTCTGCATAATATATGGTCTCTCTCACACGCTAGGTTTCATTATAGCTCCATCTTCACATGTACGCTGTTTCTCTCTCTTCATGGGTCTTTAACATCGGCTTGGCTTATAACAGATCCTGACAGAGACAAGACAAAGTAAACATGTCCCCTTTTCTCTCCTCCTCTCCATCCCATATACACACTCATCTTTGTTTTTCCGTCACTGTGTAGAGAGGCTGAAACACACACAATGGCAACAACATAATCTCCCATCTGGTCAGTGTTCGTCTGTCCAAAACACAAGCCAGTCCTTTTTCCAGTAACCATTTGAAATCATACACACACACACACACACACACACACACACACACACACACACACACACACACACACACACACACGCACATGCACAAACACAAACAATCACCCCATGATTTGATGCAGTTGGCATCATTAAAGTAGCAAAATGTGATCACATTCAAAATTAGATTTTTGGATGTATTGATCGTCACAACACACACATCAGAGGAACACACAGAGTTCAACATACTATTAAACTGCAGCTGTTCATACTACAAATCACACATCACACTTCTTCAACCACACACACACACACACACACACACACACACACACACACACACACACACACACACACACACACACACACACACTACGCAATTTCTTTGGCTTTTCTCTTTGACATTCCAGTAATTCTCAGACCAATCATGGTGCATTTATATACATGGCCAAGACTTCCGAGTATATATGCTATATCTACACTTGTACCCAAAGCTGGTTATCACATCGAGCAGTGGTTGGTGTTTGATATACTTGCCCTGGAAAGTCTGGTCCATGTACAGGTCAAAGGCACAGCCTACTTCTAATATTAGCACCTCCCTGTGGTTGGTGTCAACAAAAACAACATCAGGTGTATTTGGGATGCTAGCAAATACATCATTGGTCAAACCAAACCATTCTGGTAACACTCTAGCGTGCTTGTACATAGCTGCGCTAGATCGTAAGATGTTTTTTACCGCATCAGACACAATGTCCACAATACGGTCATGACGGGCTATGTACAGGCGTTTGTATGCATTACATCCATTTGTTATGTGTGCAATGGATTCTAGGCGTTGTTGTGAATCCTGGTGGTTTAAACAGAATGGAGAGTGAATGTGAGGGTACCAGGTGGACAGATTGTACTTAGTGGGTAATACCTGCAGTCTTGCTTTGATGGTAAATGTCAGAACATCCTCACCAACAGCGGCGTTCGTAAACACTGAGTGTGAGACTGAGTGGTCAGCAAACCCCAAACAGGCTAGCTTTCCCTGTAGTCTGAGTCCACACCAGTGCTGCCTGATCTCAGACTATTGATTTTTCTGCTTGAGGCCCCCCCCCCAGCGGGGAAATAATGACTCAGACCTGTAGCATCCTCTTTTATTCTTTCCCTTCTCTCCTTTATCGCCTCCACCCTCTCTTTTTTTTTTCTTATTATTTCTTATTCGTTTTCAACTTAAGTAACCCCTTAGTTGTAGCTTTTGATCTGAATTTTAACATTTTTGATGCTAAAGGGGCCTGAACATCTCTTGAAGTTCATTGCTGAAAAAGGAGTGTGAGGGCTAGACTTCATCCAATTTCATTTGTGGGATTGTTTCCATGGGTGGGCAAGGGCGGTTTTTCAAACAATTTACGGTCTGGAAACTGCTAGAATCTCCCTCGGACAGTGTCCTTACTCTCAGCAAAGCCCATTATCAGGATGAAATTGGATTATCGTTTTATCTGATTTTGGGCTAAAGCTGGCAATGAAAATGATTTTTCAATGTTTCTGAAAAGGGCTAGAACAGAAGCTCAATCAAACATTTAAAGGCCAGGGTAAGGACACAACTGTGAAAGAATATTTGGAAAGCATGGTTGGGCCAATTTCTTATTTCCAGGGTTGTGTTTGTTCCTTCTCACCTCTATTTATCCCAAAGATCTAATTATAAACTGGTAAAATATTTTCAGTTTCATGTCGTTTGGACGTTCACGTGAACTTGTGACTCCTTAAGGGGATTATTTGTGGTTAGAAGGCGGCCCTCCCATATTGGCTCCTGTTTGCACAGGGAAAACACCTTCTTGACGGTGTGGCATGGTGAGTTTCCGGGTTTACAGGTAGAGGGATGGAGCTGAAAGGCGATGTTATTATTTCCATGGCCAGCCATGCATTTCCCCCTTCCGTCTCTATTCTGTTGTCCTCTTCATCCTTTGTTTTCCGCCATGTGAACAAGTGTCTTTCCGGGTGATAATTTGCTCTTGCTTCTCTCTATTTCAGTCTCGTCTCCCTTCCTCATCCAACCATGCGGAGTTTCAGGGTTTTTCAGGTCCAGTTGGGGGACACATTTCCCCTTACTCTTGATTTAAAAAAAAAAAATAATCAGCCCATCTGCAGCAGTTAAGGTCTAACACAGAAGGAGGACATGATCAAACACTTTAGTGTCCCAAAAAGGGGAAATTAACGACCGGTTTGTAGGGTCAAGGACGGAACAAAGTGGGGAACAACCCCACAACCCATTATGGGACAAGAACGCTTATATTTTAAGGATGGCATTTCAAAAAAAACCATAATCAAAAATGAAGTTCCAGTTAAACCTTTAATGGATTCCTGCATCTTGTTTTCTGGTTTTGAATTAATTGTTTAAAACTTAATGAGCT